AAAAAAAAAAAAAAAAAAAAAAATTCGACACCTTTTGAATTTATTTAACAAAAATATTTTCGAGTCGCGTGAAATGTTTAATAATATGACGTCACAAAATTTTATTTACTCTTATAATTAAATTAATTTAAAAATTATCTATGATAATAATAATAATGATATAGAATATCAATATTAGATGGAAAATGAAACCTTCGAGTATCTTTCAATATGCATACGTAAATTTTTTATTAACGAAAAAAAATAAATATATTTAAATTTGATTTTGCTTTTTTTTTCTTCAAAAAGGTTTTAGAAAACCTTAAACAAAAAAAGGAAAAGGAAAGAAATAATAATAATAATAATAATGATTTTACGTGGAAATACACGATGAAAATTGTTTTAGGGTAAAAACAAGATTTTCACGTACGCATACGCGCATATGAGATTAAACCTTTTTTTTTGAGGGGAAGAAAAATCGACTCTTTACCTTTCATCCCCTTCCCTCCCCCCACCTTCCAACAGCAACTACTTATCCTAGAAACGACAAAATACACACACATACATGCATTTTTATCAACGGGTTTTTATGTAAAAAATCTAAATCCTGTCGTGATAATCACGTCAAAAAAAAAAAATTGTGGAAAATTCAAAGAAAATTTATCGCTATTGTTTTTTTATAAAATGAAAAGGAATTGTTATAACGGAAATGATGATGATAATGATGATTTTGTTTAATTTCAGATGGGTTTTTGGAGATTTTTTATGTAAAATGAATCAATTTATACACGGATTAAGTTGCACGGCATCGATAATTATATTAATTGTAATATCGATAGAAAGATATCTTGCAATAATTCATCCAATTAGATGCAAACAAATCCTAACGAGAAATAGGTTAAAGGTAAGTCACAAATGCCCAATTTATTATTATTATTATTATTATTAATTTTTACGAAAATGTCGGATTTCGTTTTTTTCGAATAATTATTATCAATAGCGTTTAAATAAATTAAATTAATGATGATGATGATGATGATGATGATGATGATGAAAACCGGAATTTTTTTTTTTTTAACGTTTTTTCAAGTTTTCCAGGGTAGAATTTTCTTTTGTTTATTGTTTAGATAAAAAGCAATAAATAACCGGTTGTATACATTTTTTTTTTAAAATTATACTTTCGACGCGAGTTTTAAGTGTGGTAAATTATAACCGGAAAAGGTTTTAAAAAAAAAAAAATGAAGGGAAAATTAATTTATTTGTGTCGGATGAGCGTCGTTCATATATTCCGCGCGTCCCCCCCCCAAAAAAAAAAATTTTCCGGACAAAAAAAAAAAA